ACCTTTTTTTCTCTTGGTGTCAAGAAAACTTGTCAGAAGTGATTCATGCAGATAGCAGAGGAAGAAGGCAGCAGACAGAAATGACAGTTATTGCTCTGGATTGAGAAATCTACACACTATAAAAGGAAATGTCAGAGGTTTACACCTGTCAAAAGTTGTTTATGGACACGAAATAAAAATGAAAGGATAGAAAAATGGTTTTACCTATGCATAATTCTGCTAGTACAGTAATATTATTGTTGATTCTGAAAACCCTGTTCATTGTCTTGACAATAAAAGTTGTTTGGATTTAAAAAAAAAAAAAGAAAACTGGTTTTATTATTACGACCAATAGTTACTGATCATATTTACTGAATGGCCCATGTTTATTGGTGAAGGATTCTAATATTTTCCATTGAACTGATGCTCTTCAGGCCAATTATAAAAGGGTCTAATGCTCCTTTAGTCTAAGAGGATGTAACATGAACAATTCTTGTTGTATTCCTTGTTTCAGCAGAAATAAATCCATATTGTTACCAGTCCTGGTATTCGTGAATGGTCCCAGGTAGACGTTACTATTCTATAGAACCACCTACCATCAGAGGAGGGGAGTACAGAGCTGTGGGGGAAAGAGACTTAGTTCTGAGTATTCAAAGGGCTAAAAAGGAGGGCTGGGGGAATTTTGTTACAAATATGATCATGTACTGTTCCATGCACATCAACAGCTGCGTTTGAACTTTGCAGCTGGTGCGCAGTGTAAATACAGTGATGCTGATGTGCTGCTTCCTCTTTTTTTTTGCAGACTTTTTTGAAATATAACAAAGTGGCATTTGATTAGGTTTTGTTGGCTGCAGCACTGTGCAGTGCAATGAATGGTGTCATTCTGTGCTGAAAAAAGTACTGCATGCCGCACTTTTTTTCAGCGAACTCCACCGCATGATGATGGCGTGAAATGGCCTGATAGGAAGCAAGGTTACACCAATGATGGGGAATTATTCCTCCCACTGTCATCAATGATGTAGCACTATTCCTCCCACTGACACCAATGAAGGGGCACTATTCTTCTCACTAATACCAATGATGGGGCACTGTTTCTTCCACTGACACTAATGAAGAGACACTATTCCTCCCACTGACACCAATGATTGGGCCCTATTCCTCCCATTGACAGTAATGATTGGGCACTATTCCTCCCACTGATACCAATGATTGGGCACTATTCCTCCCACTGACACCAATGATAGGGCACTATTCCTCCCATTGACAGTAATGATTTGGCACTATTCCTCCCACTGATACGAATGATTGGGCACTATTCTTCCCACTGACACCAGTGATGGGGTATTATTCCTCCTATTGACAACAATGATGGTACATTAGTACTCTCTAATTAATAATACCAATGATGGGGCATTGTTTTACTCCCAGTGATGCCAGGGCGCTTTCTTCACCCACTGGCCACAATCCAGCCCCCCTAAAGTTTGAAGGACAGTAAAGTGGCCCTTTGGTTAGAAAGTTTGGAGAACTCTGCTCTAGACAGAAACAAGCAAGTAACCCTCTCTGTGTCGGCACAGTCACATTGCAGGGCAGGCCTTTACTTTTCCTAGAGTTGTGCTTTAATTTTGTTTTTGGGTTCAGATACACTTTAAAAATCACATGAATACCAGCAAGGTAAAATCTAACAATGATATTGTTAGGAAATGTTGGGTAAATCTAAGATTCAGAAAGATCTGGATGTACTGGTACACTGTGGAGTCAAAATAGCTTGCCATCAGCAGCTTCTAGAACTAGCTAAATATTCCCTGGGTGGTGAGAGTGAACCAATCATAAACCATCTATAGCTGTCTAATGCACCTTGTAGTATTGGTGTGGCTTCAGTAAACTGATTTCTGATCAGTTGCTGTGGTCACTGCATTAAGTGCCTTGCTTATTGCACTGGTGATCAGAGCAGATCTAAACCCTAACTTGTGGGGGTATTAGTACTGCCACTGACCACAAATGTGTGTGATGTAACATAGTACTACCACTGACAACAATACCGGATGTTATCATGACAGTCACTGTCACTAATGTGGGGTTTATTTTTCCTATGTCTGACACCAATGATGAGAGTTATTATTGCATTCACTGATACAAATGCTGGGATTTTATTGTGGCCACAGTCAAAAGTGCTGCAGGTTATTATTACAGCCTTTAACACCAATGCTGGAGTTATTGTTGCATCCACTGCCACCAATACTGGTGGTTGTTATTGCTGTCACCAATGCAGGGGGTTATTGTTGCATCCACTGACACCAGCACTGGGAGTTATTATTGGGGCCATTGACACAAACGATAGGGGTACTATTGCATGCACTGACACTAACACTGGTTTTTTTTTTTTGCAGTCACTGACACCAACACTGGAGGTTTTGATTGCAGCCACTGGCACCAGTTCTGAGGGTTACTATTACTGTCACCCATACCAATGAAGGGACTTGTGTGCACTGCAATACGTAAAAAAAAAAAATGCAGCAGGACCACAATTTTGCATCTTTGAGATGCGTTTCAGCTCATTCATCCAGAATGGGCTGCCTAACTTGACACAATACTCCTCAATACACGCTGCCTATGTGGGGCGCTCTTGACATGTCAGGGGCCACATTTGTGACCTTCTATCATTTTCAAATTGACCACCACTGATAAAAAGTATGTCTGTGCCATAATAATGATGGATTTCTTTCAGCACTTGTTTGGCATATGAATAAATATGGCCTTGAACGGTGAAAATCACAGTCAAGTATCGTAACACGAAGTAAGTGTGCTGAAAGGACCTGCCTTTCCTTCCACAGGAAACTCAACGTGCCAAATGCTGCATGAACATTTGGAAGACAGTCAAAGTTTTTTTTTTGCACAGGTTAATTGAAAAGAAAGGACTGTATTATATTTAACGTGCAATGTAGACTTAATTAGGGGTTAATATGCCAGATAGTATTAATTATAACTTTCTAAAATAAATATTAAAAATATACTTTTTGCTAGGGTGGTTCTCAGTATTATGGATGGCACTATTAAACAGATCACAAATGTATTGTAAGACTGCTTCTTTCTTCTTACATAGTTTGACAGGAATCAGTACTACAATCTTTACAGTTATTAGAACCTAGGCATGCAGGCTGCTTCTACAAACATTTGTGAAAGAATGGGTCGCTCTTAGGAGCTCAGTGAATTCAAGTGTGGTATAATGATAGGTTGCCACCTATGCAATAAAATTATCCGTGAAATTTTCTTGCTACTAAATATTCCACAGTCAATTGTTAGTGGTATTATAACAAAGTGGAAGCAACTGGGAAAAACAGCAACTCAGCCATGAAGTGGTAGGCCACCTAAAATGACAGAGCGGGGTCAGCGCATACCAAAGCGCACAGTGTGCAGAAGTTGCCAACTATCTGCAGAGTCAATAGCTAAAGACCTCCAGACTTCGTGTGAATTTCAAATTAGCACAACAGTGTGTAGAGAGCTTCATGGAATGGGTTTCCATCGCCAAGCAGCTGCATCCAAACCTTACATCACCAAGTGCAATTCAAAGAGTCGGATGCAGTGGTGTAAATCACGCTGCCACTGGACTCTAGAGCAGTGGAGATGTGTTCTCTGGAGTGATTAATCATGCCTCTCTGTCTGGTAATCCGATGGACACGTCTGGGTTTAGTGATTGCCAAGAGAACGGTACTTGCCTGACTGCATTGTGCCAGGTGTAAAGTTTGGTGGAGGGGGCATTATGGTGTGAGGTTGTTTTTCAGAGGTTGGGCTTGGCCCTTTAGTTTCAGTGAAGGGCACTCTGAAGGTGTCAGCATACCAAGACATTTTGGACAATTTCATGTTCCCAACCTTGTGGGAACAGTTTGGGGATGGACCCTTCCTGTTCCAACATGCCTGCGCACCAGTGCACAAAGCAAGGTCCAAAAAGACATGGATGAGTGAGTTTGGGGTGGAGGAACTTGACTGACCTGCACAGAGCCCTGACCTCAACCCGATAGAACCCCTTCGGGATGAATTATAGCAGAGATTGCGAGCCAGGCCTTCTTGTCCAACATCAGTGCCTGACCTCACAAATGCTCTTCAGGAAGAATGGTCAAACATTCCCATAGACACACTCCTAAATCTTGTGGACAGCCTTCCTAGAAGAATTACATAGTTACATAGTTAGTCTGGCTGAAAAAAGACAAAAGTCCATTCAGTTCAGCCATCTAAAAAAAAAAAAAAAAAAAGTTATAATCCTACACCCACAGTTGATCCAGAGGAAGTCAAAAAAACCCAGCAAAGCATGATGCAATTTGCTCCTTCAGGGAAAAAAATCCTTTCTGATCCCCCGAGAGGCAATCGGATATTCCCTGGATCAACTTTACCTATAAATGTTAGTATCCAGTTATATTCTGTGTATCTAGGAAAGAGTCCAGGCCTTTTTTAACCTCCCTGGCGGTATGATTATTTCAGATTTTTGGTGCTGAAAGCGGTACCATTTTATTGCATGGAAATATGTATTTTTTTTTATTGTAGGCTGTAATTTTTAGGAAAAACTCACTGAAATCTGTCCGAACAAGAGTCTAGTAAACATCCCGGGTATGATAAAATTTGAAACACAAAATCATACATTATAATTTAATAAATAATCATAAAAAAAATATAAAAATAATAAATAATTTAATTCAATAATATAATCAAACCAAAAACACTGAAATGTGAATAGAGCGCCAAGTTCGCACATTGCTGAGCTCAGTCGCAAAATCGTTTTCAGTGTCTGATGAGGAATTTCCCCCACGAATCATTATCACTCAATTCTGCAAGTGGTTCTGATTTACTATCGCTGTTCTCTAGCTGATCTAAACCGCTTTTGACCTAAAGGACACTTTTTGGACGCCATGGACATTTCTCAGTTTCCAGGCAGAAAGAACAGACAAAATGCAGGCAGGGCGCAGGACAAAGCATTAGGGACAAAATGTATGTGAAATTGGTTGAGACAGCAATGTTTTACTATGTAAAATGTAAAAAAAAAAAAAATGACATTTTTTAAAATTTTTTTAAATTTCCCGCCGCGGTGGCGGCGGCGCCCGTACGTCCCGACGTCACAGGGACAGGACACAGAAGCCGGATGCCGGCATCGGCCGGAGGAGATGGCCGGGGACGCTGCAGGGGACACACATCGTGGGAGCGCAGGGTAAGGTAAGTGAAGAACACATGCCGGAGCAGTGCCGCAGGGTAAGCCCGAGTGTAGCTCGGGGTTACCGCTTTTGGTACTGAAATGTTTACCCCGAGCTACACTCGGGAAATACCGCCAGGGAGGTTAAAGCAATCCACTGAGCTGGCCAGAACCAACTCTTTAGGGAGTCTATTCCACATTTTCACAGCTCTTACTGTGAAGAAACCTTTCCGTGTTTGGAGATTACATTTCTTTTTCCTCTAGACGTCCTCTGTCATGACCTCAGGGTGAATAGCTCTACACCGAGTTCACTATATGAACCACTGATGTATTTTATACATGTTGACCATATCCCCCCTTAATCTCCTCTTCTCAAGGGAGAATAAATTCAGTTCCTCTAATCTTTCCTCATAGCTGATCTCCTCCATGCCGCTTATCAGTTTGGTTGCCCTTCTCTGTACTTTCTCCAGTTCCCCAATGTTCTTTTTGTGAATTGGTGCCCAAAACGGAACTGCATATTCCAGATGAGGTGTTACTAATGATTTGTACAGGGGTAATATGATATCTCTCTCTGGAGTCTATACCTCTTTTAATACAAGAGAGGATTTTGCTCGCTTTAGAAACCGCAGCTTGGCATTGCATGCCATTATTAAGCTTGTGATCTACCAGAACTCCCAGATCCTTCCCACCATGGATTCCCCCAAGTTGAAGCTGAATTTGAGTTGAAGCTGTTATAGCTGCAAAGGGTGGGCCAACTCAATATTGAACCCTACAGACTAAGACCGGGATGCCATTAAAGTTTTGGCAATATAGTGTGCGTGTATATATATATATATATATATATATATATATATATATATAAAAGGGGCGGACTGACAACTCATGGGGCTCCCGGGCAATAGGGGATTATGGGGCCCCTGTGTCCTTGCCCAAACTCAAAAAAGCCTATGAAAAAGATACCAGGGGCATCTCATGGGGCCCCCTACTGACCCCAGCCCTCGGGCAGTGCCCGAGTTTCCAAATGGTCAGTCCGCCCCTGATATATAGTATATTGCACAATAGATCTATTTAGGGTTGTAAAAAAAACCTATATATGCTTTATAATGGCAATACTACAGTTTATCCCTGTAGTTAAACAATTACTTTTGTGTTTCCTAAATTTATAACAAAATTGATTTAATAAAGCACAAACACTATCTAAGCAGATTATACTGTAGCTCATAAAATCACCTACTGATCCGTATACAGTATTCATTAGGCAGACATTAAAAAAGCTATTAGAGATCATATAACTAACAGATCACCTAATCAATAACCATCATTATCAACTATAGAGCACTTGGTAGAAGACAAAAAGGTGTACTGTAACTGTCACACTATGTACACTTATAGAAATCCAAAACCCAGCGACCATCCCAAACCTAGAAATCATGTTATATGTAGGGACGTATCTGGAACTTTTTGTTCCTATTTACCTGTAATTAACTAATAACGTTTGGTTGCTGCAGTTATATTATTAACATATCAAGTACTATTTAGAGATAATACTACATTTTATATAAGCAAGAATAGTCAGAACACTAAGCAATTTCTCATGCAAAAATGGCATAGAGAACTACATGAAAATTAAAATAGGACATTTGCAAAAATATAATAGTTTGTACAGGAGACCCTTCTCTTCTACTTTTAAACTGTTGTGCAAAATACTGTAAATGTAAAGTAGATACATATGCAATCCATTCAAAGTGAACAAAGATATTTGCAAAAACGTCAGCTGCCATGATAGCAAGCATATTGTACACTGTGTGTTCGGTCTTTTCTCTCTTTTTTTTAATTTCTTTATGGCCTTTTGGTAGGAGACTGTTTCAATAGGAAATACGATACAAAAATTTAAAAAACAAACAAATACGAACCCTTCAAAAACACCAGCTCTTCCTACTTCACTAGTTTGGAAGAACCAGAAACAATGTTCACAATATGTCCTATTAATCAGTTCATAAATCAATCAGAGTGCCTGGGCACAATTGTATAACAGATAAAAAGACAAGCTGTGGAATAGGGGATATAGAAGGCTCTCTTTGATTTATTTTGGTCTTTTGTTTTGCTTTTTCATTATGTAGTGGCTAAGAACAAGTATGCAGACCAAGAGTCCAAGAGTTATGACTTAATTCTGCCTTCATTGGCCGCATACTTATTTCAGGTCAGTGACTCAAAGTACTGAAGCCAGAGGGAGCCAGGAAATTATCTTTGTAGAAGGAAATTAACAATGGCAGCCTCCATATTTTACTCAGCTCAGGTTTCCTTTAAGTCAGCAAAATATAAAAATATTTTTAAAAATAATTAATATTAAGGATCATGCAACCAAAACATAGTTTAAAATTATATTGTATTTCTCTTTTTTCTTTCTTTTCATTGTTTTTATGGTGTATTGTCTTTGTAGTATTGGGTGCAGTTGTATCTGTTGTATTTATTTATGTTACACAAGCATTGCCTGTTTGTTAATCTTTAATCATTTTGTCCCTACCTCCATCCTGAGCTAGAGCATGATCTATGTAGTTAGTCCCTCCCTTCTTCTTCCTACTTTAGCCTCCATTCATAACATGTTCTGTATTCTGCTGTAGCTAGACACTGTAGAGGTTAGTAAAACTGGAGAGTACAAAATCTGGTGCAACTCTGCAAATCAGATTCCAGATTCTGAGTGCACCAGTTCTAGTGACTCTAGCCCACTATGATGTCTTGCCCTATTTGATGTTCATCTGTTATGATCTGCACAAGTTTTTGGATTAAAGCTTTCTACGATCTGCAAGATGTCATTTGGATCGAGTCACTGTCTGCCAATCTACTGAGACTGTAAGTTATGCTAACTCAGTTATAGAGATCATGCTTTCAGTGCTTTGATTTAAACAGAACAGTATTTGTTACATTTAAAAGCTTGATACAAATATATTAAAAAAAAGCATAATAATATTGTATATTTCATTTTTGGTACACATTTGAGACATAAATGACTTTTATGTTATATCTCTCAGGGGTGTTGTGGTCTACCAAATAAAGGGGAACTCTCTAATAAGATGTAAGATGTTGGTAGGTAACTACCAGCCCAGCAGACTCTACTTTATGGTTGGCATCTATCCCTGTTTTCCAGGGATAGTACTCATTTTGAGGGGTCTGTACCCAGCAAAAAAAGGAACCTGGAAATGTTCCCAGCAGCAGCAGCAGCATAGCTAGGTGGAGGCACTTGGAGTGTGCCCTAGGATGGTCAATGACGATATACAAAGTGCAGGATCATGTGTCCAGATAAGTAAACATGAAACTGCAATGAAACTGTGGGAGGGGGCACAGGAAGATGGTTGGTTTTTATTATTGCTGTCAGCTACTGTACTTTGTTAGTTACCGTTTCCCTTATTTGTCAAGCCTGTTAGTTTTATTTGCATGTATATTGTATCAGAATAGAATTATTCCCTGTTTGTCCTAGAACTTGCACAGCCTGCAGGTTAGAATATGGCCTTGTCCTCTTTATACAATAAAATAGTGTACACAGAGCAATGGTGACTTGCAAAGTGCAGTAATATAAGGCATCCAATCAGATATCGATTTGAATGGTTGTTGTACACAATTACACCTTGCTATGTATAAAGTTGCATAAAAAATGGTTTAACATTAGGGTGGGATAAGCTACATTCCACTGCATAGGACAAAAAAGGAAGGAAGCACATGCAGGCTAACCTGTACAGATCTATCCATATGTTTCTTCTTGACACCTTCAGGACATCCCTCTTAATTAAAATCTTCTTGCCTCTTATTTAAAATCTTTTCTTTTGTCTTCATATGTTGAATTATTGCCTCTTGCTTAAATGTCTGTGCCCAATTGCTTGAGGGTGTGTAAAAAATGGAGTGTGATTGTATGGGTCTGGTTACAAATGAGGGCGTGTTTTTTTTTGGGTGTGGTCAAAAGTGGGTGTGGCCATCAAGGTACACCAAATTTTATTTTGAAAATCTGGTAAACATATCTACTATATACTTAAATACTTGTCAGTTTGCTTTCCCTTTAACAGCACTCAGATTACATTTTTTTACATCACAATCAAGCTTTACTTTTTTAATAATGCTGCTATATTTAAAAGGCTTTCTACTTTTAACAGACAATTCAAAAGGTATTTATCCTAGCAGTTGCCCCACACTCTCCCTATTCAGCAATAATTTCGACTTGCTGTTTCACTCTTTAGCTACTGTCATCACCTTTTTTAAAGCACATCTTAACTCAGTGGTTTTAGTTTTGAATAGAGGAAGGGTTCCAACCCCTGTCATGTTTTTACTGCATCTGTGTTTTTGGGAAGACTCCTCACGTCTGTCTTAGGATGGATAATTCACTAGAATGGGATGTGAGGGGAAGACCTCCATCACTTAGGTGTACTTAAGTGGCTGGATGGGATGCACAGATGTTCTGTGCTTGCACATGCAAGCAGTCCCTTTCCTGTCAATTGGGAAGCAGAAGGTACATGGACACTGCTGCTGCTCCCAATGTACTGGCATCTGCAGGTGCCTGAATGCAGACAGGGTGCAGCCATTGTGTCCCAGTTGATATGACTGGGACTTCCAGCACATACAGTACATGCATGGAACACCTGTGCTTCTTGTGAAGGCAAAAAGCTGGCCTCACATGGGTGTACACATAAGTATACCAATGTGAGTTAGTTCTAAACCGTGAGCGCATAGTTAAAGATAGGTGTAATAAAAAATTACAGAACTTCTAACCCTTGCCAACTTTATCCAAAACTAAAAAAACATTTTTTAACTAGGCACAAACGTTACTTTATATTTTTTTTCTTCCTGATCTCTAAATAACAAAATATTATTGTACTTACTTTTCTCCAGACATATATTTTCAGTTGCAAGGTTCCCTTTTTCATCCATTTCTAGTCTTTTCCATGAGTTGGGGTGTTTCATTTTAACTACAACCTTCGTCCATTGTTTTCTAAGGAATAAAGAGGTGTTTTCAACCTCAAGAAGGCCTTCATTTTCATGGCATGTCCATACAGGTGCCTTTGCACAGTCTATAAGGATTGCTGGACGAGAATGTGAGGGAGAAGATAAGGAGACGCTTAGGCACTTTGAAGTTTTCAATTGTAGTAGCTTCCCTTCTTCTGTCCATTTCCATTGCTGACTGCGATGTGTTGCATTGCATCTTCCGACATTCACAACTTTACCTCCAATAATACATACGCTCTTCTGCTCATCAAAAATCTGAAAGCTCTCTGAAAGAGAAAAAATATATCAGTGTAACCAAACAAACACATAACATGAAATTATGAAATATAATAGTAATGCTGTTATCTCTATTTCACCCTCTACAAAAAACCAGCAGCAGCAAACATTTCATCACAGCCAGGATCTGGCTAGAGGATCAGCTGGTAGGCCCCAATTTTCTATGCTCATAGAGCATTGTTCAATGGGCCACCACTCACTACCCTTGTTTACTTGAGAATTGGTAGCAGGCCTACAGCTGACTATGGGACAGGTTTAAAAGGAGAAGTAGGGCCAAAGCTCGTTTCCTGTGGGTTACACTTTGCACTTTGCTCTGCACTCCTGTGACCTGCTTTAACATGCTGTAGGTTGACTTCCCAGAGCCAGTGCAGACTCTGGAGAGATCCTGACTTTAATGTTGGGGTCCACCCAGATGTCTGGACCAGAAGCTGGCTCAACCTCTCAGCGAGCTGCTCCAGTCCCTCATTCCCTTCCACAGCGTTGTGCTCCAGTAAGCATTGGAGGGGCAGATTAGAGAGCTGGTGACTAACAGTCACCTGCACTCTGCTCAGAGAAGACCAAGAACTGAGCGATCAGTGATCTTTGATTGCTCAGTTCTTTGTCTTAGAAGCAGTGAGAGACAGATACAGCATTGGACACTTTCCCCACTGGACCACTAGGACTTTTTTTGGGGGTATTCAGGCCTGAGAAAGAGGCCATAGGGGGCCCCACAAATTCTAATGGCAACCCTGCTTAGAGTCAGCAGCCAGCCACTAACCAACATAGCTTGGGGGTATTTTTATAGCCTACCACTGACCACCAATAGTTCTGACCACAGTCTTTATTGTCTCAAAAACATTGTCACTGGCTATTTCATTAAGTTATTCTTTAAATTGTTACTAAACCCACAACAGTAATATCAGTCTGTATATGCAGTAAAGCATGCTTGTTATACTCACTGTGGGACCTAAAGAGTTAATTCTTCATGTTGTGTAAAAAGTATGTTTTAACCTGTCTTTGATGCTCCCCTTCTTTCAGTGTCTCCTAAATATCCCCTGATAGAACATTGTCATGGAGTCACTCTGCACATGCTCAGTTTGGTGTGTATGGCTAGAGAGGTTTTTTTTTTTCTTGGGAGAGTGCATGTGATCAGCACAGTGCCGATCAGCACTGTCCAGACAAGGGTTCTGCATCCTCCTACAGGAGAATGAAAACTCCTCCTATAAGCTTTAACCAGTGCTCTGCTGGACACTGATAGAAGTCACAAGACTGCTCTAACTGCTGATGAGAAAAGGTATTTAGCAGTTTATATTTGCTAAAATAATTGCATTTCCATGTTCTGTGTACTGTGGGAGAACAGATATAGTGAATGCAGGGTCCTGGGTTTTGTAACGCTTTAAAGTAGGCTGAAAAGCATATGTATTAAAAAAAAGAATTGTGTTGAGTGTTGTATGTGCCTATTAGACTCTGTGTCACCACGGTAATTAAATCATATTTTGTGGGTACAAGAACCATGGCATATGCATGCTGTGTATACAGCAAATATAAGCAGTACAGTACAGTAAGTAGACTCTGTACTGTGAGTACTGCCCCTTGAAGACCCTCCACTGTTGGTGCAGTTTGGCCACACCTATCATTCGGCATGGCAAACTGTGTGCGCATTCTGCTTTACTACTCTCCTAGGGAAGGGGGAAGGAGGGAGGTGAGCACCTGCATCTATTCTCTGGCCAAAAGAAGCCCTGATGACACTGATTGTGTTGGCTGACATTTTTACTGTTTGGTATTAGTGGCACAGGATCACAAGATGATAAGTTAACAAGTGCATCGAAAATGGTTTCTTTCACTGCGCAAGACCAAAAGTGCCTGAAGGGACATCCCCTCTCCCTCTTCTCTCTCTTTCTTCCTTTATCTCCTTTACTCTCCCTCTCACTTTCCCTCTCTTCTTCCCGCTTGCACTCCTTTTTTTGCACTTTTCCTCTTACATTATACCCCCTCCCCATCACTCTCTGTTATTCATTTTCTTTTTCTCCCTGTCATTCCCTCTCACACTCCCTTGCTTGTACTTTTTCTCACCCTCACTCACTCTGGCAACATATTGTCATAATTGACTGTTTGTTGCCTCTGTATTGTCAGGATTGCCCATTTGTTGATCTCACATTGTCATAATTGCCCATTAGTTGCCTGCCTATTGGATTGCAATGATAGCCTATTTGTTGCTCATGTATTGCTTATTTTTTCCTTGTGAATTATGAATTTAGCACTGTTGTTTAGAGCAGCCTTTCTCAACCTGGGTGCCCAGGCACCCTGGGGTGCTTTGAGGTTTCTTCAGGGGTGCCTTAGCAAAATGTCTAAGAATTGCTCAGAACTTGTATACAAGCCAGCGGGTGGAACAAGCCTGCCTTTTAGTTACACAAAGTCACAGGTTTTCATTGTGCACCATAAAGACCTTTGAGTCCTGACAACCAGTGACATCATCCGTTGATAAGGAGGATGTCGGTTGCCGGCACAGCATCTAGTTTGCCATCCCCTGCCCTCTTCATCAGTGCTGGGGTCACATTTGCTTAGTGATGGAGAAAAACTGAGGGAGAAGAGAAACATTGGAATACTAGTCAGTACCAGTGTGCAAAAGTGTGTCTGCTTTGGAAGAATAAATCCCCTGTAATGTCAGGTGTCCCACATATGTGGATGTTGCTGCATTATATAAAACTGTTAGATAAGTTTTTTCACATTTTAGAATAGGATGCCCTTTTAAAATTATGAACATTCTTGAGGCACCCCATTTTAGAATGGGGTGTCTCAAGAGTCTGTAATTTTAAAGGGTGCCTCGGGACTGTCCATAATTTTAAAGGGTTGACTTGACTGAAAAAAGGTTGAGAATCACTGGTTTAGAGGACCATATTTATCTCATATTTTTCCTTTTCCATGCCCACTTACAGTGATCTGCACCCACTATTTGCAGTGGAGCACTTTGCCTACAACTATAAAGATTACCCCCTATTGTAATTTCCTGTCACTACAAGGGTAGTGACAGTAAAAACTATAACTTTGCTATCCAAAAAAATTAATGAAATGCAAAGGGTTGTTTGATTTTTAAACACTACATCAGTAACTGACTGCCCATATGCTGGATCAAGAGACATGAAAATGTTCCTACTGCTCTAAGTTATCATATGTAACAAAAGCAGTGGACAAATATCTAGATAAAATGAATGATACAGAGTCTGTAATTGCATATTCCCCTTATATAATGTCATCTTACACATGTTTTCAGAACTCCTTTTCAATGGTGATAACCACAAATATGATGTGATATAACAGCTATTAAATTCCACATTGTAATTCTTCTCTTTGTACAGTCTTGTAGCTTTGTTAAAATGATACTTTTGTGTGGTATTCTGTTGATACTGTGCTGAAGTATAATAGTAAGACTGCATTCTTCAGAGCCCTGTGTACATACAATACAATGTGGCTTCTAAGATGTTGCAAATCGCAAGATAAAATCAGTGCACTTTTCAACAGAAAAATGACAGAATGAACATTTATAGTGGAGCTATTACAACACTTAAGCATTGATCCAATGCCTGGACAGACTCAATACATTACATTGTTACATTTTCATGGTTTTCTTTGTTTTCAATATTTGTCTGAATACAAGTGTCCTCATAAAGTAAATGTTTAGGAGTTTTAGAATTTAAGTATATGTACATTGCACTCTTACTCTTGATGGGGGTGGGAATAATCATATGATGTATATAGGGATGAGCGAAAGTAGTTCAAAAATTCGATTCGGCTGATTCGGCGAATTCGCTGGAATAATACGTTTCGATTCGAGTCGAATATATTTTCTGCGAATTTAACTTATTAAAAAAGGGTGTTTTCTCAGGCTTCTAGAGAGCCATTATATTAGTGCTAGACACTGTACCTTTAATTTAAATGCCCTTGGAGTCTGCTGGGGAAGAGAAATAATACTGACAGTCAGTATGACATGCAGATGTGTGCCGTCGATCTTAGAATCACCAGCCCACACTTCCCTCATTATGGTGCAGTCACGGGGCCCAAAACCCAGAGTGTGGAGCCACCAGTGTGGCGGGTGGAGTGGCAGGCAGCAAATGGGAAAAAAAAACAAAAGTGTCCCCATATGAACAGCACCCTATGAACAAATGGAACCCACCAGACAGTGTGAGGAGACATGAAAGTGGCACCATGCTAGTGTGTGGCCGATGGAGACAGCCAGCAATGGGAGGTCGTACACGGGACCCATGAGACACTCTGGACCTGGCAGCAGCATGGAAGGAGGCGGTACGGGGGCCCCTGGCAGATTACGGTCATTTGGCAGCAGCACAATGTGAGGCCCTTCAATCTGGCCAGCAACCCTATTGACAAAATTGGAAACCCACCAGCAGTGTGAGGAGACCTGAAAGTTGGCACATGGCAGAGTGTGGCGATGGAGACAGCAGCAATGGGATGCCGTTACAGGGGACGCCATAGAGACACTCTGTGGAGCTTGGCAGCAGCATGAGGAGGCGGTACGGGGGCCCATGGCAGATTACGGGCCTGCAGCAGCGCAATGGGTAGGCCCGTAATCTGCCAGCACCCTAATGACAAAATGGAACCCAACCAGCAGTGTGAGGAGACCTGAAAGATGGCACATGGCAGAGTGTGGCGAATGGAGACAGCAGCAATGTGGAGTGCCGTACAGGGACCACATGAGGACACTCTCGGGACCTGGCAGCAGCATGAGGAGGCGGTACGGGGGCCCATGGCAGAGTACGGGCCTGGCAGCAGCAATGGGAGGGCCCGTAATCTGTCCAGCACCCTAAAGACAAAATGGAACCCACACCGCAGTGTAGAGGAGACCTAAAAGTGGCACATGGCAGAGTGTGGCGATGGAGACAGCAGCACATGGGAGGCCGTACGGGACCCATGGAGACACTCTGGACCTGGGCAGCAGCTTATGAGTAGGCGGTACAGGGGCCCCATGACAGATTTACGGGCCTGGCAGCAGCATGAGGAGTCGGTAACGGGGGCCTCCCATGGCAGATTTTACGGGCCTGGCAGCCAGCAATGGGAGGCCCGTAAATATGCATCAGCACCTATGACAAAAATGGAAATCCACCAGCAGTGTGATTAGGAGACCTGAAAGTGGCACCATGGCAGAGTGTGGCGATGGAGGAACAGCAGCAAAGGAGAGGCCGTACAGGGACCCATTAGACACTCTGGACCTGGCCAGCAGCACATGAGGATGCGGTACAGTGGAACATGACAGGATTAACGGGGCCTGGCAGCAGCATGAGGTATTCGGTACAGGGGCCCATGGCAGTTACGGTGCCTGTCAGCAGACAATGGGAGGCCCGTAATCTGCCAGCCACCCTATGGACAAACTGGAACCCACCAGCCAGTGTGAGGAGACCTGAAAGTGGTACACATTGGCAAGAGTTGTGGCGATGGTGACAGCAGCAATGGGAGGCGTTACAGGGACCCATGAGACACTCTGGACCTGGCAGCAGCAGGAAGGAGGCGGTTACAGGGGACCATGGCAGAGTGGCGAAGCGTAAGCTGCTTAAAATTGAAGGCCTAACAGAGGCCTAGTGTTAAAAATAATAACATGTTTGGGCAATGAAATTCATGGCGGATTTATGTCAGTTTGTGTCAGGAACTGATGGTTTTGAAATCCAGACTAATCCAACGCCTGATTCATTTTCACAAACGTGAGTCTCTCCACACTTTTGCGCGTGGACAGTCGTGTCCTCCGCGGAGTTACAATATCATCCTTGCCGCCACTAAACCAACGCGCTCCGATGCCACGCTAATGGCCGGGCATCCTGACAGCCCTTTCAAAGGGCAAATTCAGCTAGTTGGGGCCAAAGGTCAAGTTTCGTTGGCCGCAGTATTCAAGGGGATTGTCTACCTCGGTTGGCAGGGAGGGTGCTGTCCCAAGTAGGCCCAAGCCTGTTGTTTGAGGTACTGCTCCAGGTCCACCTGATGGCTGCTGCTGCTTGCGGCTGGGTTAGTATCCAAGCAAACCGGAGAATGCTATGGGCCATTTGTGGCCAAGGAATGCGAGGTACTTACTCCCTGCCCTCCATTCCACAGCATACTTGCCTCGGTGCGTCCTGGGTCCTCCTGTCCTCCTCCTCCTCCTCTACCAAGATGCTCCAGCTCCTCCACTACTGTCCCGACTGAGTTAAAAAAACAACCCTTTCACTCAATAATTCCTGAGCACCATGTCCTCCTCTACCTCCTCCTCTTCTTCCTGTCCTGCCCCACCCAACATGGGTCATGTGGCGTTGAGATCTGTAGCGCCACGTCTACCTGCACCCTGACCAGCCATTGTTAACAGCATTTGTTCCAGGACGTGCAACAGAGGAATGACGTCGTTCATCCAATAGTCTGCCGACTCACAAATAGCGTGGCCTCCTCAAAGGGCCTGAGCAAGCGGCAGGTGTCACGCATGAGCTGCCAATGGCTGACATCTAAGTTACACAGGGGAGTACCTTTATCCGCTATGTATCAACAGGAAATCGGTGATGGCCTTTCGCTGTTCGTAAAGGCGGTCTAACATATGTAGGGTTGAATTCCACCTTGTTGCAACGTCGCAGATCAGGCGATGCTGTGGGAATTCCGTTCTGCCGCTGCAGCTCAAGGAGGTGTGCTTTGCAGGTTGTAGGAATGGCTGAAATGCATGCAAAGTTTAGTGACATTTTTAAGGATGTTCTTGCAGTGGGATGGTGGGATTTTTAGGAACCGCGTTGACAACCAGAATTGAACACGTGAGCCATGCATGCGCATGGCACAAACTTCCTTGACGCAGAGCAGACACCATGTTCTTTCCGTTGTCGGTCAACATGGTTTCCGATTTTCAGTTTGCGCGGAGACACCATCTGTCGATTTCTCTGTTCATTACACTCAGAAGTTCCTCCCCCTGTGTGACTACGTTCGCCAAGGCATACCAGGTGTGCAGCACAGCGTGACACCGTTGCGCCCTGCACATGTGATATGCCCCGTTCGGGTAATGGGACTTGGCACGGGGGTGGTGGCTGAGGACACGGCGGAAGAAGAGGTGGTAGAGGCGGACATCTTTTTGTGGACCAAGGACGTGCAAACGTGGAGGCAAAAGCGGCGTGACCTGTCCAAGTTTGCTGGTGCGGCTGTGACAGCACCACATTCACCCAGTGGGCCGTAAATGACATGTACTGTCCCTGACCTAGTTACAGCTCCACACGTCGGCGCTGCCGTGCACTTTGGCAGAGACCGACATGCTCAAAGACTGGCCCACCATCTCTTCTACATGTGAATGCAGGCTGGCACTGCCTGGAATCCGTGAAGAGGAGTAGCAGGAGAAGGAGCATCTGAACAAGCGGAAGATGCCAACGAGCGACAACACTCCCCTCAGCAGAGGTGTTGGAGCCTTGACTGGCTGATAGAGGGCGATTGACGTCGGGTGACGGAGCAAGTAACGGAGCGGGTGATGGAGCGGGGGCTGGGGCAGGCAGAACCGCCGTATCTTTATCACGGTTTTCCCAGGCCACCAAATGGCGACGCTGCATATGCTGCCGCAACGCTGTAGTCCCAACATGGGCCCCCTGGCCATGCTTGACTTTCTGGCCACATAGTCGACATACGGCTACGTTTACTTCCTCGGGCGGCTTGACGAAAAATTGCCACACCGCCGAGTAGGAAACTTTGCCCCCGATACTCCTCACTGGCTGACTGCTACTTCCTCCGTGCACACCGGCACCACTACTGGCCGTGGTGGTAGGCTGCAGTGGAGCTGGTGCTCTACTCCGTGGCCGTTTGCCTCCACTGACACTGCTGCGACCCTGCTGCCTCCTGGGCAACCCACCGACTGTTTTGCTCGCTGCCAAGCTGCCACCCTCTTCTCCTGATGATGCGGAAGCAATAGCCTGATGATGACAAGGCTGCCAAGTGCGATCAGCCTCATCATCATCAATTAGGGTCTCCGCCTCACTACTAGCCCCCTCGGCTGTGTTTGGGTCAGGAGACAGACCTGTCTCTAGACCGGCTACCGGGCCACTCTCCTCGCCATTACTTCTTCGCCTGGCTGCTGAAGAGGCGGATGTCTCCCTCCGTTCCTGACCGCCCTCTGTTAGCTCTTCCTCACTGTACAGTGGGGCTGAGCCCACAGCATGCGATACTTCGCTTGGTGAGGGAACACCAAAGGACAGGGGCAGGTAGAGGACACGTGATTTCAGTGGGCTTGCTCCCGGGCCATGCCAACTAACGGTTGTGTCTGACGTACCCACCGACCGTTGGCTGTAGGTGTCAGAGGTGACCTGGGAAGAGGAAGACGACCGAGCCAACCAATCGATGACGGCAGGGTTGTCGGTGGAGACACGACCGCTGGATGACACCGGGAGCAATGGCCTCTGGCTGCGACTAGTGCTGCCTCCACCCCTTCCTCTGCTGCCACGTCTGCTCGCTCCTAAAACATTGCCTCCTCTGCCACTCCTCTGCATGTTGTCTGACATACTCTTTAATTCAACGATTATGTGTCCCTGAGTAACAATTCTGTGTCCCTGAGTAACAATTCTGTGTCTGTCCCTGAGTAGCAATTCTGTGTCCCTGAGTAACAATTCTGTGTCCCTCAGTAACAATTCTGTGTCCCTCAGTAACAATTCTGTGTCCCTCAGTAACAATTCTGTGTCCCTCAGTAACAATTCTGTGTCTGTCCCTGAGTAACAATTCTGTGTCTGTCCCTGAGTAACAATTCTGTGTCCCTCAGTAACAATTCTGTGTCCCTCAGTAACAATTCTGTGTCTGTCCCTGAGTAACAATTCTGTGTCCCTCAGTAACGATTCTGTGTCCCTCAGTAACAATTCTGTGTTCCTCAGTAACAATTCTGTGTCTGTCCCTGAGTAACAATTCTGTGTCTGTCCCTGAGTAACAATTCTGTGTCCCTCAGTAACAATTCTGTGTCCCTCAGTAACAATTCTGTGTCCCTGAGTAACAATTCTGTGTCTGTCCCTGAGTAACAATTCTGTGTCCCTGAGTAACAATTCTGTGTCCCTCAGTAACAATTCTGTGTCCCTGAGTAACAATTCTGTGTCCCTCAGTAACAATTCTGTGTCTGTCCCTGAGTAACAATTCTGTGTCCCTGAGTAACAATTCTGTGTCCCTGAGTAACAATTCTGTGTCCCTGAGTAACAATTCTGTGTCCACTGAGTAACAATTCTGTGTCCCTCAGTAACAATTCTGTGTCCCTAGTAACAATTCTGTGTCCCTCAGTAACAATTCTGTGTCCCTCCCTCAGTAACAATCCCTCAGTAACAATTCTGTGTCCCTGAGTAACAATTCTGTGTCTGTCCCTCAGTAACAATTCTGTGTCCCTCAGTAACAATTCTGTGTCCCTCAGTAACAATTCTGTGTCTGTCCCTGAGTAACAATTCTGTGTCCCTCAGTAACAATTCTGTGTCCCTGAGTAACAATTCTGTGTCCCTCAGTAACAATTCAGTGTCCCTCAGTAACAATTCTGTGTCCCTCAGTAACAATTCTGTGTCTGTCCCTGAGTAACAATTCTGTGTCTGTCCCTGAGTAACAATTCTGTGTCCCTAAGTAACAATTCTGTGTCCCTCAGTAACAATTCTGTGTCCCTCAGTAACAATTCTGTGTCCCTCAAAACAATTCTGTGTCCCTCAGTAACAATTCTGTGTCTGTCCCTGAGTAAACAATTCTGTGTCTGTCCCTGAGTAACAATTCTGTGTCTGTCCCTGAGTAACAATTCTGTGTCTGTCCCTGAGTAACAATTCTGTGTCTGTCCCTGAGTAACAATTCTGTGTCTGTCCCTGAGTAACAATTCTGTGTCCCTCAGTAACAATTTTGTGTCCCTCAGTAACAATTCTGTGTCTGTCCCTGAGTAACAATTCTGTGTCTGTCCCTGAGTAACAATTCTGTGTCTGTCCCTGAGTAACAATTCTGTGTCCCTCAGTAACAATTCTGTGTCCCTCAGTAAGAATTCTGTGTCCCTCAGTAACAATTCTGTGTCCCTCAGTAACAATTCTGTGTCCCTCAGTAACAATTCTGTGTCTGTCCCTGAGTAACAATTCTGTGTCCCTCAGTAACGATTCTGTGTCCCTCAGTAACAATTCTGTGTCCCTCAGTAACAATTCTGTGTCTGTCCCTGAGTAACAATTCTGTGTCCCTGAGTAACAATTCTGTGTCCCTCAGTAACAATTCTGTGTCCCTCAGTAACAATTCTGTGTCCCTCAGTAACAATTCTGTGTCTGTCCCTGAGTAACAATTCTGTGTCTGTCCCTGAGTAACAATTCTGTGTCCCTGAGTAACAATTCTGTGTCCCTCAGTAACAATTCTGTGTCCCTCAGTAACAATTCTGTGTCTGGCCCTGAGGAACAATTCTGTGTCTGTCCCTGAGTAACAATTCTGTGTCTGTCCCTGAGTAACAATTC